TCAGAAATGAATTGAATTGAATATTCAGTTGGTGTCAGAGGATTTGACAATCTCATAGATGTAATTCCTTAGAATCCTCTACAGGTGACCAATGAGGGTTTGTCTGTTTTTAGCATCATTATAACTAATGGATTTAGAGACAATGATGTGATTCAATCCATTACAGTTATTATCTTTAATGATGCTCAAATTACACCAATCTTTGGCTAGTGAAAGCCTTTTCAAATTGGCCCCTGAATCCTTTTGATACGACCCTAACAGCCTTTGATAGCTAGAAGGAAGAATCTTTTAATCCATTTGTCATATTTTAACCGTGAAACCACAAGCATAGAATCAAAGGAAAGGATATGATTTTGGCTGGTCCTTTATAAAAACATCCCTATGTTTTTAGAATAATAGGAGCACCTCAGTCTTCAGCATTGTATCATTCTTTACATTTTCAGAACGATGGACTGAACATTTTTCGTAGCACTCTGATTCAGTAAAAAAATTCTTAGGATGGGTCATCATCTATACACAATGTATTTATTTAATTCACATGCAAAGAAAATGGGACTTAAAAAGAAATACATAATGGAGACATGGGAACATAGGATCAAAACCAGGAATAGAATATAGCACTAAGTTACACTCTTTGGGATTTAATATTTAACATTATTAATAACATTTCACTTACTATTACTAACAGGACATTGTTATTGCAGCTTCTTAGAGGTCTTCATTTAACTGGATTAAATTTGAAGGAATTATTGAACTTGACTAAAGCAATGTAAGCTGTGAATGTTTGTGGGAAGGTTGTGGGAAGGGCTGACTTTAAGAAGCATTTTTGGGAAAGGAACTACCTGGACTCAGATTGCCCGGACTAGAATTAAAAATTTAGAGTAGACTGAAAATGTAGACTCTGCACTCATTACTATGGCCAAAGAGCTGCTGAATAATTGATCATGTGTTTAATAGTAATAAAACTTTCCATTATGCTGCATATAAAGTTCATTAAATAAATAAATGTGACAAAATATGATAAACTGTGGACCCAGATGGCAATTTGGTGGCAAGAAGAAAGTAATTCTCTTTAGCAAATAAGAAATAGAATTTACTTTGTTTTATTTTTAGAAAGACAATATTTCTACCATTAGTTTCCTGATTCCAGTTAATGATTTCAGCTAAAAGAGCTCAATAGTCTTTTTCTATTTTAAAGCACTTAGTCCTACTAATGCTGAAAAAAATGCTATATATCCACTAAATTTTTGTGTGGCATTCTGCTATTTTAACAATTTAACAACACAGTTCTGAGGGACTAGAGCACAGTTTCACTCTTCATGGGGTTTATAAGTTATTACCAGTATCCACAGGGTAAGCCGGAAGCTTGGAATGGACACATTTTGTTACTATTATTAAATGAGTTCAGAAACTCTTTAAATTCCATTAGGTTGCCCCAACTGCCACCTTTCCTCCTTAAGATGCTGTTTTATAAATGAACGCCTCACTATGTCGGGAGAGACAAACTGCTGTAAGGGAAAGAGTAAAACAGATCCAATTCTGATACCAGTTACCATTGTGTTACCTGCGTTAAGTATTTACCTCTCTGAGTGTTTTCTTCTGTGCATAGCAGAAGATAATAAAGCCTACTCTGAACTGTATTCTTAATTGAGACTGAATAAATGCCCTATGTAAAATAGTTGTCAGATATCAGATGCATAATCAGCTAGTTCTCTTTCCCTAAGGATGCCAGTGCCTTCTTATTAATCTTAAATCGGCTTATTGGTTTAATTTAACATTTACTGGGTGCCCAACACACGCTGGGCACTGGGCTAGTCACAGAGGTAAAGATGAGTAAGATTGGTCCCCGCATCGAAGTGACCAGGAATTTTTTTTTTTAATTGAAGTACTGTCAGTTACAATGCGTCAATTTCTGGTGTACGCCACAATGTCTCAGTCATGCATGTACATACATATGTTCTTTTTCATTAAAAAGTAACAAAGAATCTATTAAGGAAGACAAATTTGTATGTGAGAACTCATTTCGCCTGAACAGAGTTGAGAACTACCAAACATTAGTTTACACTTTTTGTCCTTTATGATAAATACTAACTCGACTGTAAAAGTGTAACAAAATAAAATGGGTTAGTTTTTGCATCAATCTAGAGTATTTTAGCAAAATAAGCTTTATTCTCATAAACTTTAAGACAGTATAGAAGTACATTCTATTTATAAGACTATCTTGAGGTACTTTCATTTGTAAAAACCACAAGACTGTTTTTGCTTATTTAACAAATAATAGATGTGATATTTTCAGTAAAAGTTGCATTTCTAATTAGCCTAGTTACCTCATAAGCAGTTCCTTTTTCTTGGAGGAATTAATATTTTCTCAAGTGCCACCTATGCACGAGTATTCCACCAGGAGTGTTGAGTGCTTCCCATCATTAACTCATATAAGGGATCTTTTAGTTCTAACGACTTCTATAAAGCACATTAATCCAAGTATGCCTACATTAGGGTTCCATAATGCATTGCATTTTCCACTTCAGTTAAACCTTTCCAAACTTGCAGTTGCCTTAATTTGCTCTCTATCATAGGTTCAGGTAACCTCTTTTGAGAAGTGGAGATGATTTGTTGTGCAGGTGACAAGTTGACTTTATACAATTTTCCTAAAGGTCAATAATTCTATATTATTCTTGCTAAACAATAACTGAAAAAAGAAAAATGCTGAAACAGTCTTTATATTCTAAAATCCCTTAATTTAAATGTAATCTTTGTTCACTGAAGGAAAATAAATCCTGTGATTACATGTCAAAATGTATTGTTCAAGAGCATGAAATCTGCCTTTTTATTGCACTGTCTTGAATAAATATAAGGATTATAAAGTATAAACCTTGAATGTTCTATTAATCTTAATTACTTTAAAGTTCATGTTAAATTTCTAGGAAAATTGGTTTCAACAAACCATACACTGTAAGATTTACTTGATGCATTTAAGACAGAGGTAATTTTTAACACCTGTCACAATCTAATGTCCTCCACAAATATGTGCAGTTAAAACAAATCATGGTCAGTTTTGGCTGTTTTGAACATGGTTATCAAATTATTAAACATGAATTAAAGCCTAATAACAGATCCATACGATTACATTCCCAAGAGGTTTAATTAGTTGCTAGCAAATTAAAAGTAGGGTTTTTGAAATCTCTCATATATGGGTTCACACAAATATATCATTGGTAAATAGCTATAGTCAAAATCAGTATTACATTTAGCAGTGTGGAATATAAAGAAAAATCATGAGATTCAAATTTTCATCTCTCTTAGATCATTTTACCTAGACACATTCATACTAGTCAACACCGAAAAATAAAAAATCCTGTTTTTAATCTTGGGACAATGATAATTTTTGATACAAAGTTTGTCACTTTCTCAAGTATTTTCTCCTGAATAAGAATACGCATTTTTAAGAAGTCAGTTCAAGGAAAGGCTTTTCCCTCTCTGTATCTCCGTTTCTCCTCACACTTTCCTCCATGCCTTTCACTTGTTTTGTGTAGCTGTTTGCTACTGGGGAAGGGGAGGACAGCACAAGCCAGATGGACACTCCGCCTCTGTCCTGTCTTCCTTCCTGCTGTAGAAGTGAGGCCATCAGCAGGACGGTGAGCCCCCCAGAACTTCAGCTCTGTGGAGAACCAGGAGCTGGCCCTTCACGGCTTTAACCTTTCCCTAGTCTAAACATCCTTTAAGTCCCCAGACAAAGCATGAAGGGCTGGGCTATCACAGGTTTAAAAATAAACTTCTAATTTGTTTAGAAGTCACTTGTCTCTTCTCACACTGTTATACATCTAGATTTTATTTAAAAGCCTTTTTCCTCTCTGAGCCTTTTATTTTAACTCAGAAATATGTTGACAGCGATAAGAAAATTAGAGAAATTTAGATTTAAATGATCTGCTGTCATTACTACTTATTAATAATAATGATACTGCTTATGACATGTTAGCACTAGTAACCCTTCAGGCTTCGCTCACATTTATTGAGCCTGCACCTCAGCCCTGTGAAGACGTACTATGATCTTCCCTGTGTGGGAGAAGAAGCAAAGCTAAAAGTGGCTAAGCAAGTACTTGGCTTCTTGTCACACAAATCAAGGGGGCTAGGACTTGAACCCAAGTCACTTAGCCTCCAAAACACCTGTGTTCTTGACCTCTGTCCTTTCTTAATCCATATGATTACATCTATATGATTACTTCTGAGTGAGATAATTAATACTGAGTAGTTATTTTTATTATTGTTAATGACCCTGAGATATTCATGATGTTACTGGCAACCAAAACTCTAATGCTTATCTGTGTATGTGCGTGTGTATGTATATAAATTCAATTATCTTTCCATTTCCATACCTCCTCTCAAGGTAACCAGCCTGGTAGATATTCTTCCATGCTTCTTTTCTATAGTCATACTACTATCTACCCACAATTACAGATCATGCTCCTCCCATACAGCGCTAGGTACGCTCATACACACACACACACACACACACACACACACACACAGGCTTTCAGATTAGTTGTTTTCATAAAAATATGATCCTATAAGCATTATCCTCACAGATCCTTTTTCAAGGGAAAATACTAGGGAAGTGTGGATCCGAGAAATACACAGAGGAAATAAAATATCGCTTACTTATATATCAAAATGGCCACAAGTTAAGGAAAATCATTCAAATCACAATCTGTGTATTTCAGAGGTTTCTGTATATTGCCATCATATTGTGACAATAAAGACTTTGGAATACCCAAGCAGGCAGGTGGTTGACATCGCCACTATCTATATAAACCCAAGTGAGATGGGCTCTCAGAGGGACCTGGCTCTCGGCCAGGCTAAGATAATCTTGTTGAAGAACCATGCTCTGGAGAGATCCTCAGTATCCTAAGGCAGGCTTTAAAAGTTAAAGACTTTCCTTAAAAATGTCAGGAAAATCATGTGATACTCACTAGTAATCACTCACCTTTGGACCTGGTAATCCAGGTAACCCAGGATTTCCATGTGGCCCTGGGATGCCCTACAAATGGTAAAAGAGTCGGATCATTCTTAGAAGAGATCGAGATACAAATAACAGTGTTTATTATAACATTCAAGTAAATATTATATAACATAATTCATTAGAATGAATATATTATTTTACCAAGGTCTTTAACTTTTCCGAGATCTTGGATATTTCAGTCTTGGAAAAGACATTAATTATAGAGCAGAACTGTGGTTTTCGTTTTTCACTTCAAAACACCACCTTGAGGTGTTCACGTCCCTTATTAACCACCCCTATGTCCAGTCACATTCTTAGCACTACTTCTAAAAGCTGTGCAGACGAAGAAGCCTAAAAATAAAGTGCAATTGTTTACTCTCCTCTCAGCATGTGGTAATCCTTTCTGCACTTGGGTTTTTAATTATGCTGTGATAGATGCCTTAAAGACTTAACATCATTTAACCCTGCCCCCCTTTACCTGTCCAAATCATTCCTCAAGCATCAGCAGAGATCCTATCTCATTGTTAAATCCTGGCTACACCAGCATGAAGTGATTTCTCTTTCCTACTAACTTCCACAGAACTTGCTGCATGTAAAATTCATTTGTAATTAATTGCCTTGGGACATTTCTTATACTGTTTTGTTATTTAAATATTTCATTGCTATTTTAATTTCCTTATGACATGTGCTATTAAGTTCCAGGATTATAAATTCTTTGAAAAGACAGTTTTTTAAAATATTATCAGTATCATACTTAGCACATAATGGCCTCTCAATGAGTCTTTGTTAATTTGAATTTAATAATTGCTTCTATTTACTGAATACATACTATGTGCAAGTAATGCTTTTTCTAAAATTACTAATCTTTGTAACAATCCTGCACATTGGTTATTTACTCACATTTATAAATGAGGAAACTTAGGTTCCCACAACCAACTAGTAGAACTAAGAGTCATCTCCAGAAAGCCTTCCAGGTTTCCAGGCCTCCTAAACCCATTTGGGTTTGGTTCCCACCCCTGTACTCTTCAGCTATACCTTTATCTTGACACATAAACAGTTAATAATTCTCTATTTATCTGTCTTTTCAATTCTGAATTAGTAGAGAATTGTGTTTCAGAGAGGAGAGGGGTGCCAGCAATGCAAACATTGAAAGGCTATCTAGCAAGATTAAAATACAGGGGAAAAAAAGTGAGATTTCATGACATCTCATTTCTGTAGCCTTCAAAAATAAATATTAATAAATTCGCTGGAAAAATTTATAAAGATTGACAAATGAGTTTCAATGTCGATGTAGGGGCAATGGGCATAAAGTATTATTTCACAGTGCTCAGTAGTACAAGAGTGAGCAAGGATAGTAATTTTAGGAAAAATTAGTATCAGTCAAAGGGATTTAAAAAAAAAAGATAAGTTTCTGGTTGTTGCCAAATAAGATGAAATCTAGGGAGAGAAAAAGGACATGCTGTGGGAGAAGAGGGCCTTAGCAGTGGAGAGGGGGTGGAATCAGTGCAAAGATGAATGAACTCAGTCCCTCAGAAAAGTAGGATCCAGGGTCTCCGGACAGAGAGGCAGGGGGACAAATGATTTCCTGGCTAAAGGAGAGCAGGCAAGGTTTAGAAGACACTCTGGGAAGAATGTGCCAGGTCATCAAGTTTACAGAAAGGAAAGAAATGGTAAACAGCTAGAGCCCAGCAAGCATTCATCTTCTGCCTCATACGGACAAGAACTTGATGTAAAAACGGACAATGGAAAGTAATATTTCAGGGCAATTTTTCATTCTACCATTTGTATGATAAATAAAATCAAGATAGAAAGACAGTGAATTATCTGTTGTATTTGCGTTTGTCTTTATAACCATCACAATTCTTTTCCTAGTGCTTTGAAGAATTTCTGCTAGTAAAAGTCCACATTTATTTTTTAGGTCTGAAAGGAACTAATTCTAACACCACAATAAATCTTACTGTTGGAACTGTGTAATGTGGGGAATACTGCTTATCCTTCAGGCAGCTTTTTTCCTCAGGACAATGATTTTTCTAGTTTATAGCTCCAATATTTTCCACTATGTAATCCAGGAATGCACTATTTTAAGGCAGCCCACTCTTCTTCATTTCCCAAAGCAAATGAACCCCACTTTGGACTATCAACCACAGATGAGATCACTTTATAACTGAGAATAATATTACAAGTAGCACCAGGTCAGCCACTGATCTACAAATCTGATCATCTTTCTTGAGCATGTTCACAGAGAATGCTTTGGCCGGGGGTTCATACTCCAACAAGTGACATGTATGCCTAAGCTTTTCTTGAACTGGCAAAAGGTAGGGCTAAGTTTGAAGGTCCAGGCAGGTTTCCAAAGGAAGCACAAACTGTCCAATACTAGGGAACACACACCGGAAAGTGACCAATGCCAACAGCAAGGGAGAAACGGCGCTCATCTACTCACCCGTGGGCCCCTCTTTCCTGATGGACCCGGGATACCTGCTGGGCCAGGAGGACCCTTGGAAAACAAACGCCAAGATGTTAGGCATGGCGACAGACACAGCTTTTCCCCCAAGTCTACTAAGAGTCTCGTTCCAGGGCTCTTTTTCAGTCCTCTGTTGCCAACTGATGATGATTTTAAAATAACATGAAGCCCCTCACCCTAGTCAGCAGGGGTGAGAGCTGAAGCCCAAGCGTCCTCTTTCATCTGGCCAGAAATGGCAGCAGGAAGGTTTATGGCTTATGGTTACGGCCACTGTATCTGGTTTTTACAGCGACCATAACTAGTAGTTTTGTGGGTAGGTTTTTTTTGTTTGTTTTTTTACCTAAATTTACTTTTACTACTGAAGGAGGAATTCAATTTAGGGTTTGGAGTCCAGCAACTACAGGTTTTTTCAAATACACTGCAAAAGACGACTTGTCTTGAAAAATTAAAGCACTGACCATGTTCTGTTCTTTAGGAGACTTATACCAAGGATCTGTGTAATGTGTTAAACTGTTATACTGAGACTCTTCTAGTATGTTCAGTAATAAATCCGCCTTACACAAGGTGCGGCATACCAGGGGGTCACTAACAGAGCTAAATGCTTTGTAAAAACAAAATATGAAAGCAAAAACGGATCAATTTTTAAAGCATTCTGAGTTCTTTAAATGTAACTGATGAAATATGTCAAATAAGAAATAGGAAACTACTACTTTGCTGCCTCATATTATGCCTTATGTCATCTTTTTTACTTGATCAACTCTGGAAGAATAAATGTTGATTTAGGATATGGCTAATATATATTCAATCATTCATTTAATTGTTGCTGAACATTCTGCTGACATGTCATTATTCTCAGTTCCTTCAGAGCCTACTCCTAGTCCATTTTACAAACATTCATTCGTTTCTGCAGTACAAACAGTACGAGCTTTGAAGTTAGACACATCAAGGTCAAGATGATTAGCCCTACCGTTAACAAGGAGCATGACCCCAATGAGCCTCATTTACATGCAGCATCTCTCGTTTTGAAACATTATCCTTTATTGACACTACAGTCATTTTGCAGTTTTCTAATGCTCTTTATATATTTCAGACTGTACATTTTCCTTTTCTTTTTTCCTTCTCCTACCCACTAACTTAATAAAAACCTCTCCTGTATTTCCTAATACTGAGAAAAGTAGTATTTCTATTCAACACCAAACTGAGGGCATTCTTCCTCCTGAGCCACTCATGCATTTTGATAGCTATTATTACATCACTAGCTTCCATTAAAATTTGACTTTCACTTATTAAAAAAACTTGAAATTCTTTTCAGATTAGTTCCAGTTCTGCTGTTATAATCAGAACTTTACAGCTGATGATTTAAAGCTCTCAGAAATAAGAACTAAGAAAAGAAAACTAAATACAAAATTAAAACAAAATAGTTTGGTTTGTTGCCCTATCAGACGACTTTGTGGCAAAAGAAAACAGTATCCCACTGACATTGAAAAAGCAGTTACCATTAGAGTTCATGTTAGATACTGGGGGGAAACATACACTTTATGTTGTGATTAAAATATCTGAATTGTTTTTATAAGCAATAAATAAAAATAAGTTTTAACTTGCCTTCGCAATTTTGTACTTCCAAATCTTTGTGAATTTACTACTAATAGACATTTTCTAAAAACCAGAGGAGGAAAGTAGTTTTATATGGCATGACTTTGAGAAAAAATTATTTTCTATAAATAAAAGTAAATACTAGAAAGGGCATTTTAACTGTCATGTTATTGGTTATTAAGAGAAAGTATACTTCAGTTAAAAGAGCAATGGTATGGCAATAATCCAAACTGGAGTCAAATCATGCTTCAGTCACTTACCAGCTGAGCAACCTTAGCCATGTCAATTACTTTTTCTAAGCCTTAGTTTTCTCACCTTTAAACTATTGATGATAAAAATTTACTTTCCAGGGTTATTGTGAGCATTAAAGATGTTACATGTAAAATACCTGTAACTATGATACACAGCAGTAACCTGTAACCAGGAAACTTAGCCAGGAAACTAGAGCAGTCTTTTTTAAAGGTGTGCACGGGCACAAGCACTCAATGTTAGTATAATGTTATTATTACTAGAGTAATATTATTATTAGGGTAATACAATTATTACTAGGGTAATATATATACATTCAGACAAATGTATTCAGTAGACCAACAGTTCTAAGAGATAATAATGTCTGGTCAGCTAATCTTGCAAGTCCTGCATCTCAAATTCCCTTTACAATTCATTCACCGATTCATTCATTCCCTCAACTCAACAAACCTTAGCAAGCATCAACTCTCCAGGAGTTGACAATGAGATAAAAAGACATACGTTAACAAACACACACATAGTATACATTTTTATTAGTGACATGAAGGGAAAGAACAGTCAATGGAGAGAGATTAACAAAGCGTACCTAGTTTATACCGCGGTATCAGAGAAAGCTTCTCTGAGGAAGGGCTAAGTGAGACCTAAAAAATGAAGAGGAGTTAAGAAAAAGGAGAAAATAAAATTCCAGAAAATAAGAATAAAATGAATGAGGGCATGAGTAAAACAAAACAAATAAAAATATAGTCTTTTTACGGAGCTAAAAGAAAGCCAATAGTGGCGGTAAGGAAAAGTGGAACACAATGGGGTTGCAGACGTACCAGGGGCCAGAGGACACATGACTGCACGGGTCATGATAAAGAGCTTTTAGTTTATTCTAAGTGTGTTATTCTTCTGTCACTGACGAGTTTAAACGGATAAGTGACATGATCTAATTTTTTTTAAAAAGGCTCACTAGAGAATTTATGTAAAAGATGGCAGAATGAGAACATCTTAAGACCACCCTTCTTCCCTCAAAACCCACCGAAAACAAAAAAACACCAAAAGAAGAAGAAATCATCTCCGATGAAACAAGGAAAGGACCACAACCACAAACCACAAAATATGAAGATTATCTTCCAAATACTGAGAAACTTTGGAGTAAGGAAAGCTGCTGAGAGATGACCAGAAACAAAAACAAGCAAAAAACCTCAGACCTCAAACTTAGGACAGGCTACAGATATCTAAAAGTTATTAGTCCAGTAAGTTCATTCCAGCAATCCTTTATTGACAATGGTCATGTTTAAGGGAATAGGAAAGACGCAGGAGATAAAATTCATGACCCTGCACAAACCCAGTTCAAACAACCAAGAGTTTAAGTCAGGTAGAAGTGAAGTGGGAAAACCCATCATTTTTATGAACTACAACAAATCTCCTAACCTCAGGAGATTTCTGGTGGTGAGAGGAGGTAAAAGACAAGAGCATAAATCTTATCACTTCTCAGAGTGATATAAAAGGCTTCATGACAAACTGCATGTGAAAATGAGAGGTGTGTTTCTGGGCAGAGGACAAAATCAATGTGGAAAGACAGTGTGTAAGGCAGCAACTTAAATCTGATGCTGTGCACCACTCCACCGTGCTTCCCTCTGCCTCTCCCCATACTATTCTAAAACGAATAGTGGCCCAGACAGCGTCGTCATTATTTTAAAAAAGCGTAATAACCAGAAAGAAACCAGCAAGGCACCTAGACATACTGAGAGGACAGGGAAGAGTGAGGACAGAAACATAATTTAAAAGTAGATGAAAATCGTTCACCAGAAGAGGAATTACTCCATGCAACTGAGAAAAAGTTCAGTTGTGTTCTTCACTACAGATTAAAGACTGTCACGATGCTATTTTTCTACAAAAAGAGAGCTCAGTGAGTTATGAGATAAAAATAACCAAGGTAATGAAATGTGAGCCAGAAGAGCTTAAGAAAGATGAAAGAGCAACACAGAAACAATTACAGACGAAAGCCATGTCAGAAATAAAAAGAGACTATAATTGAACCAGCTAAGAGATATGGAAGTAGCTGAACCGAATTTATACAAAGTGAACTGGAAAAAAGCAATCAGAGAGAGATGACTGCAGAGAAGACAGTAAGTACCGTCAGCACAAAGGACATTTAACACATGCATGCTGATGTGCCTGAAGGAGGATATAGAAAAATGGAAAAGAAAAATACCTGAGGATATATGAAAACTTTTCCATAATAAAGTAAAAATAATCTTCAGATCAAAAGTTTACCGGAAAAAAACGGATACAGAACCTAACAGGTTTAATGAAATGAACTTCAAAGATAACAAAAGAATTGCATTAGCTCACAGAGGAAAAATTAGGCTGGCCTCAGACTTCATTTCAAGAAGCAGTAAAAACAATCTGTACCAAGTTCATCATTTCATCACCATTCACGCCATTATTAGCCTTCTACAATCTACCATTAAGACTATCCTGAAGTAGGATTCCCAAAGTTCGATAGTGACTTTCCCATCAGAAGAGCCAGTGGATCTCCTCCACTTTTTCTCAGTCCTTACCCTCTTTGACTTCTGAGGCTTTCGGCACTGCTGATCAATTTCTTTTCAAAACTCTTATCTTTGGCTTTTACGATAGTATACTCTATTCTTACTTCCCAACTCTCTGACTATTCCATCACATTTCTGCTTTTTTTCCCCATCTGCAATCACAAAGCAAATATTCCTCATGATGCCTCTTGACTCTATGCCAAAATCCCTTCCTTGAAAATTATCCAACTCTATAGCTTCAAATACTGATGGGAAGATGCCCAAAAATATGTCCCCTACTTTGACCTCTTTTCTTCATTTCAGCTTGAACTTTTCCAACAGCTTACTGAATTGCCAACAGCACCTTAAACGTTTTAACATGGTTTCCTCTCCTAAAATCAATTTCCCCTCCTAATTACTGGTTTTAGTAATGGTGTCATTCTCTCAATCCATAGGCTTGAAACATTAGAGCCATCTTTAATCCTCTTCCTTTTTGCTTGGTCCCTAGATCCAATTAATTTCCTAGTTCCACCAAACCTTCCTTCAATGTAGCTCCTGAATCCTACCTTCCCTTTACATTTCCACTGTTGTCACCCTAGATAATGCCCTCGTCTTGTAACATCAAGATGCTAACAGGAACTTCCTGTCTGTTCTGGGGACTGCTACCAGACCCACTTCCCTATTAAGGTCTCTGCTTATAAACCTACAAACTTCCCCACTGAGAGCAGGATAAAGTCAGAACTATCAGTTTAACAGTTAAGGCCTCCACAACCTGCCCACATCTAGCTTCGGTCTTATGTTTGTCTAATATTATTCAGCCTAACACTGTAGAAGAGTTTGTGCTTTAGATGCACAAAATCTGGTTCAAAATCCTGGGTCTATCATTTACTGCTGTATTTCCTATATAAAGAATGTGCCAGCTCCTTTCACCTACCAAAATCTTATCCATTCTTTGAAGCCTATATTCTAACTAACTTCGTCCACAAGAACCTACCCTGAGCAGCTCAGCCTTCAGTGATCTTTCATAGGGAGCACCTCAAGCAGTATTTTTCTTACCTTTGAAAATGTGTCCTCCATTCACTTATTCAGTATCTCCCAGTGGCATTTATCTTACTTTACCATGAGACACAGCCACAAATGCACTTCCTGTATCCCCATACTCGCAGTGTAAGCTGACAACTGTGCTACACACACTGGTGTTTCTGCTTTGCCCACAGCACAGACGAAGTAAATATCTGTTGAATGGTATTGCTCCACCTACCAATGCCGAAATGATTATTCTTGGATTTAGAAAAGAGATTAATATTCCTCTCTGACTTTTTCTGAAGAAAGTGAATGGCTCCCATAACTATTTGTTTAATATGACCTGCCCAGTGGCTCAGTTTTATTATGAACATGCCGGTATCTGTCATAGCTGAAAAAAGTTTATTTCTCTATAATATATTCTTCTGATTTTATTTAAACCTTTAAACATTCACTCTAATAAGAGCTGCTCAATACCTATCAAATCGCTTTGCGTAATAACCACGAAAGAAACACAAGCTAAACAAGTGGCATCATCTCCTATTCTGTGGTTTCTGGAGCTAAACAAATGACTCAAATTTTATTTTCATCGAATAAAGAAATACTTTTATATTTTAGTCCGCTTACTTTTATATTTTAGTCTGCTTACAATGAAAAAAAAATTTCTAGACATGTAAGTTGATTTTCAAGGTATTCAAAAAATAAAAGGCAACATAATATTTCTAACGTCATTTGAAATAGCTTTAAATGTGTTTTAGATGATTTTTTAAATTTTCAAATGTTCACTCGTAATTGCACCGACAGAGCAAAAGAATTTCAGAGCTAAAAAAAAATCCATCCATTAGCTCATAGTTTTGTTTACGCATTATTAAATAAGTGACTTGGCCATTTTTTTCTACTGAATGGACTGATGGGCTGACTGGCTATTTTCTGTATGAGGTAGATGGAGCTTTTATTAATCCATAAATATAAATTGGATATGTCATTAAAGATATAATGAAACATGTTACTCTTTATGGAAATAAAAATATTTCATTTAGAATGACAATTAGAGTGCTTTTCCCCCAACAAGTCACTGTAAAATTATCTCTACAATGTTATACGCTGTTTTAATTAATTCATTTTGCTGAAAGTATGTTTAATAATGTACTTAAAGTATTTTTATTTCGTCTACTACAACTTTTATATCCTTCCCTTAACCTGACTATGCATTAAGCCTATGTTTTCTCTTTTTTAAGAGAAAATGCTGATCTATATTTAGCAGTTGAATTCCTACTTGAATTTCAACTGAACAGGAAAAACATATAGCTTACTCACCACTTTACCACAGTTAAGTAAACTTTTCAGCCTGCCAATAAAAATAACCAAAAATAAAAGGACAGTATATGAGCCAGGGTTGCATTCTGGTTGGACATGTTATAGAAACCATAAATTCACTCACTGTAGCCAGGATCTGATCTGTTCTGTATTGTTCAGCCTAGAGAATTCTTTTTGAAATGTATGGTAAAGTTAGCGCATTAAGACATATTTTAAAAACAACAACTTACGGGAGGTCCAGTGTCCCCTTTTGGCCCTCTTAGATTCTCCATTTCGAGCACTGTATTAAGATCCTCATAATAATAATAATAATCATAAAGCTCAGTTTCATAGCTATTTTCGATGGGATAAGTAGCACCAGGGTCAAATTCACCTTCCTTCCTTAGATCAAGGTGGTTATCCACAGACGGCTCATCTGTCATTCTGTACAAGGTCGTGTTCAAAACCTGTTGCAGTTCCATGAATTTATTAGTGGGCAGACTGGCTGTGATAGCCTTCTTGAGATTAGTAATTGTATCTTGTTTTAAATGTGGAAGAAGAGACGATGTCTTCTTAAATGGTGACAGACGAGCTACTTTATCATCATGTCGTGTGAAACTGTCAGACACATTTAGAAGAGAACTAAATTTCTCCTTGCTGTTTGTTCTTGCCTCATTGAGGCTATGATGCATCATTGGCAGGCTTAAATTTGTCTGGGTAAGTTCCTCAGTGATCATTTCTTTGGCTCGAATCCCATGACTCACAGTATCGACAGCAGAGGCATTCCCTGAATGAAGAGAAGTCAACTGAGCTCTTGACATCTGGTGTCCCTGTTGTTTACGCACTGCTGCAGAATCATTATTTGTGAAATTTAGAATGCTTCTGCCTTTGGTAAGTGTGTTCTCCGACAGCACTTTCTCACCAAGTCTTTTGGGGAAGGGAGTGCTTTCCGATACCTTAGCTGGTACAATAGTTGTATGAAGAAGGCTTGCCTCAGGGCGACACTGTGGTTTCACATATCTGCAATAGTTTGCAGATACTTCAGCAGAAGGAATAATATCCAACTGACATACTATTCCTTCAAAATGGACAGAATCATTATTCATACTTCCTAAGGTAAACACACTGTTAGAATCAAAGGTCTGAATTTCCAAAAGAGTCTCTTGGCTAAAATATTTCTTTCCACACTCAACAAACATTGAGACAACTTGCTTGCTAATGGCAATGGCCAAGGCGTGCCATCGCTCATCGTGAACACTGTAGTTGAAAAACACCGACTGCTTTCCTCCAAGGTGCACCACTAATTTTTTAGGTAATAACTGTACTCCTAATTGCAGTTTAGTTTTACTTCTAATGCTGAAGAGAAATGCGTTGTTTACTCTATGTGACTGTAACCCAAGTAAGATTGTAAATGGCTGTTCTAGGTTGACTGGTAAAACTTTCATGAGAGGTGACTCAATAGAACCATCATTTGTTAAAATGACACCCGATTCTGTGACATGGACCCCCCGAGGTAGTGGTGTCGATGATGATGGTACAGCAGTCACTGATGAGGAGTGTCTTACATCTTTGCCTCCAAGGCCTAGTTGATGAAGAATATCTATGCCTGGAAATTAAAAAGAGAGAGAGAAAGAGAGAGAGAGAAAGAATCTTACTCTTATGCATTCATGTGTTCATATAAATGTTTGCGTATGAGAAAATCTTCCTTGCAGGGATCAACAGTGATCCCTGAAATACACAAGCTCTATCGATAACTAATTTCTAGGTAATGAGAGATACGGAGAGAGAGGGTAAAATGTTTACGATAGTCCAAAACATACACATACACACATGCATGCACACACATATATATGTGCACACACATCCACCCTCCTCCAGTATCCCTAAGCTCAAAATTTAATTAATAAATGTTCTCTCATTTTTTCACATAGGAAACTGATTTGTTACTGCAATGAACGTACATGTTCAAAGACTCCCAGATAGTCATTTACTTCTTTAATTTAGAACTCAAAATCTTATGACTATGTTAAAGAGAAACTGGAGACATACTTAGACATACTTAGAAAAAGAAATTTCTAATTTGGGAACCATTTTATAAAGTTCACAGACTCCTTTAAACTATGATGATTTAGGCTGTCTTCCCTTTTAGCCTTCTGAGAATTTACAAGTCACATAAGAGCCCTTCCAATGCCAAATACCTTACGTGTGCGCTGCTTGTGAAGTACCGTCACCCTGATAACCCCTGGACAGGAGAACTTCAATTCCAACTGGTGCTGGTCACCAAACTTCTCTCCCTTCCAAGTTTCTCTCTCTCCCATTTTCCCTCAGTCCTCCACAGAAATTTTTGACCCAACAATCTGTAGACTTTCTCAATATTATAAAATATGGGGTTTATATAATATAGATTTATATAATTATGAATTTTTCTGTTTTTTTTAATTGTAGTATTACTGACAGTATATGTCTTTATGTCCCTTACCCAATTATAAACTCTTGGAAGACAGATTCTGTGTCTGATTCCTCACTGGCTATCTCCTATATCTGCCCCCAAATAGTCCTGTAATTTTTTTTTTCAATTGAAGTATAGTCAGTTTACAACGTTGTATCAATTACTGGTGCACAGCGTAACAGTTCAGTCATACATAAACATACATTCATTTTCATATTCTTTTTCATTAAAGGTTATTTGAAGGTATTGATCATAGTTCTCTGTGCTGTACAGTGTAAACTTGTTTATCTATTTTATATACAGTAGTTAGTATCTGCAAATCTCAAACTCCCAATTTATCCCTTCCCACTCCCTTTCCCCCTTGGTAACCATGTTTGTATTCTATACCTGAATCTGTCTCTGTTTTGTAAATAAGTTCAGTCTTTTTCTTTCTTAGATTCCAGATTTTAAAAAATACCATATGATATCACTTATTTCTTTTTCTGGCTTACTTCACTTAGAATGACAATCTCCAGGTCCATCCATGTTGCTGCAAATGGCATTATTTTATTCTTTTTATGGCTGAGTAGTATTCCATTGTATAAATATACCACAGCTTCTTTATCCAGTCATCTGTTAATGAGCATTTAGGTTGTTTCCATATCTTGGCTATTGTAAATAGTGCTGCTATGAACATTGGGGTGCATGTGTCTATAATTTCTGAATGAATCTGTCCCACTAGAATCTGGTCAGATGTGACATTTACCTTTAGAGTCCTATAAAATTAAATACCATTTGTAAAGAATGATAAATATTTTCTTAAAGATATATAACAGCTTAGTTACATTATCTTTATTATTCTTTGGGTTGTAAATCTCCTATTTGTATCTTTGTAAGTACATAATTATTTCCAAAAAGAAATGTTAAAGAATTGTGCACTCCTGGGATAAGTGAGGAAAAATTAAGGTTTCTAAGGACTAGCCAGGCCAGGAACACCATCTTAGTTTTCTTTTTATAGGAAATTAGCAGATATTTGATAATTCATGTTTATTACAAGTAGTAAACATAATGGCAAATGTAAAGCCCAATGGACCCAAGTTTGATGACTCTATACAACAATAAAAAAAAAATACTGAGTATCATTCATGGGTCATCTAGCAATACAATTAAAATGTTTTCTCATTAGAGAGCTTTACAAAACATTCAAAACGTTTTAAGGTTGGAATAACCATCATTTTATTTATAATGTAGTTATAATTTTGTAACAGTTTTAAATGTTATGTTTGTATCTAAGAAGCACAACAGGGTCTCTTAAACTTTTCCACCAAAATATTCCTAACAGTAGTTTTAAGTTATATGCATCTTTAGGAATTTGGGGAAATATTTTTACTCCATAACATGGCTGCTTGTTTTACTATGAAACATGAGTTACCAGCTAAATGAGTTAACTATTCTCATTCTCCATCTTCAATAAAATTTTACACTCTGAAACATACCATGCTTGGTCTGCAACTTAGGGTACTCTTGCCCAATGCATCTGCCTCTAAGGATATTCTCAATACAAGAGGTAAATTATGGTAAAAACACTGCTAATGTGAAAGTCACAATGCTCAAAGTATATTTAATCAAAGTATGTGAAAGTTAGTTATTCTGTGATGCCAAATCAGTTATTCTTACACAAAGAAAGAGTCAAATTATGTGGTATGACATCGAGGCTTGTTACTTGCTCAAAGAAAACCAGTCCTTGCATTAAACCCCTGCTAACTGCTGCCTCGAATTTCTGATTCTATTAGAATGGAATACTATTGGAAAGAGTCTTCTTTAAAAACTTTAGTATATATATGTTTTCAATATTTATATACATATATAGAAATGTTTCCTTCCTTCAGTTCTAATGTGTGTATATATATTTTTTTTTCCTTCAATCCTGTTTGAGCTTTATGATAAATAGCTTAGAATTTAAAAAAAAAAGTCAAATGTTTTTGAGCATTTACTGCTTAAAAAATTTCTTGATTGAACCATCTTTGCATTTCTAAACTAAAATCTACTTGATGGTTGTATTTTATTCTTTTAATATCTTGCTGGATTCTTGAAGAATAACTTATGTAGACTCACTCCATCAATATTTATGAGTTAAGACTGGTCCGTGGTTTTTCCCTTATTGTAATATCTTCATCAGAGCATAAGGCTGGATTTTCATTATTATTTATGGCCTCGAGTGGCTTAAATATCTTTCTTTTTTTCTCAAAAGTTAAATAAAACTCAGTTGTAAGCCAAACTTACCCTGTTGACTTTCTCATTGATAGCTCTACATTCATCTTCCTAATCTTCTTGTTAATTGACTTATTCTAAATGTCAACTGCATCATGAATCAATTTTAGAAATTTCTATTTTTCTATGAAATAATAACTTTCTTCTAGGCTTTCAAATGTGTTACCCAGAGATCTTCATGTAATATTCCCTATTATTCTGTTTTCCTATTTCTGTGGTTCTCTATATAACTTTCCAATTTTAAGTATTTTGCTCTATTTGTTCTTTTTTAAATTGAGTTATTGTCATTTTAACAGTTTTGTGTTAATTTCTGGTGTACAGCACAATTTTTCAGTCATATCAACATACATATATTCGTTTTCATAATTCTTTTTCACCATGAGCTACTACAAGATCTTCAATATATTTGCCTGTGCTATACAGTATAAGCTGTTTGTTCTGAAATGTCATTATTGTTTATTTAAAAAGCATATCCTTTGGACATGTTTATCCTTTCTACCATTGTCTGTCTTCTGTATCATTAACTTCTACATTTACCTTTATAAATTTCCTTTTTCTACTTTCATTTGGTTTATTTTATTCTTTTTCTAACTTCTGGAGATGAGCACCTACTTATTTAAGAATAAATTTTCCTTTAAGCAATAAATTTTCTGAGCATGGCTTTAGCTTTGTCCCATAGATTTTGATATGTAATATTTTCATTTTATTGTGATATTTTCATTTGTGTTGTTTTCTAGAAACTATGCAATGTTTACTTGTATTTTCCCACTGACACAATTTAAGAGAAAAATGTAGAATTTTCCAGTTATAAAGATGTTTGTTCTGATTTTGTTATTAAATTCTAACTTAATAGCATTGTGATCAGAAAATAGTGTCTAATCTTTTTTTTTTTTTAATGGAGGTACTGGGGATGGAACCCAGGACCTCATGCATGCTAAGCAGGCACTCTACCACTGACTAATTTTGAAATTTAGCCTAATAAATGGTATTTTCAACAATGTTTGTTAAGCACTTCCAAAGGCGCTTCAGGATACACAATTTAGTATCTGTTGGCTGAATCTCATTATGTCATTTATATCCTCTATACCCTTATTTTTATACAATTAATCTGTCATGAACTAAGAGGTAAAGTCTCACCACTTTTATGTCTGGCCCTGTATTTCATGTGGTTTCAGCTTTATGAATACTATACAATGTTAGAGTTGTTATGCATTGACAGTCATTAAATTAATATATTCATTGGTTATACACCTTCTCAAATCATAAAAGTAAGTTCTATGTCTGGTTTATTTGTTTGGGGTTTTGGGTATAACTTCTGCTTCATCTGGTATTAAGCCCCGTTCTCCCCACGTGACATCTGCATTTGTCTATTATACCTTTGCCTATGCTTTTGTTTTCATCTACTTTGAAACAGTTTTAGGTGAAGAGGAAAGAGTTTGTTTTGTGATCTGATCTGAAAATTTTTTTCTTTGAATGTAAATTAACTATTTACTGATATGATAGTTTAGTTAATCTGCCATTATTTTATATTATATTTTCAGTTTAATTTTTAAGTCTTTCACTGTGTACTTTGTTTCCTTTGCTGTTTGTATGTAGTTGTTTTGAGACTGAGAAAAGTTGGTATTTTTATTCTAAGGTTCACCTTTCAAGTTATAAATGTATACAATGTCTAGTCCTCTCTGTTTGGACATACCTCTTACTTCTTTCCAGTAAATAAGGTTTCCTTTTCCTTTTTCTCTTTCCCTTACCATCTAATATTAGTCAATAAGATTCTTTCTTAGTATTTGCCTTTTTATTAAATATCTTTTTGGTATTTTTATTTGATTTATCAGCTTTGGAGAATATTTAATTCCTGGTTTCTGATGAGCCAACCAGCAAACTTAATCTACTTCCTGTTTCGTTTCCCT